AACGTTGAGTGATTACAGACGGTTTAGGCGATAGTTGTCTCTCCAAAAGGTGTACGATGGTATTATACTCAAGCTCAGAAGGCTTTTCTGGRGCTGCTAAATTACGTAAGAGATTATAAGTTTTACTTCCAAGTAGCGTAAGAAGCGCGGGAACTTTCTTCTCTGTTTTGATCTCGTTGACTGTAAAATATTGTTCCAAACGCTCGATGTAGGCACTCCATGTTTCTGTAGCTTCGTCGAATGGTTCTATTCTTCCAATAAAGGCCATTTTTGTTTGTGAAAACCAAGGAAATCTCACATTATTTTAAGAAGAAGTCCTCCGAATTTTTACAATGTGGCCATCCTCGTCGCCAATAATTGTGGTGTATTTGTATTTATTATTATACGATCGTCATATATAATTACATGTCAATCAATGCAAATCTAACACTTGGTGTGATTGGTGAGAGGCAATATACATTACCACAGGTAACCCAACCAGTTCCTGAATACGAAGCCGTTCAACAAGCGACTGTTTGACTATTGCAAATATATTTCCTTCAGATTGTTTAGCATCCATTTGCTAAAGTTTATTTTAGTATATCCAATCATATAATACGGAAAGGTTAACCTGTTTCATTTTGTTGTAGCATTGTGTTACTTTCCAAATAAAAAACACTTTATGTAAATCTCTACATCTCTAAATCTCTTTTGATGACTGTAGAAAAAATGTCCTACAAGTTAATCTGAGCTAGATAAAATTATTTTAGATAAATTAATAATAATTTTGGTACTAGCTAGGCACGTATGTAGGCACACAGCTACAAAAACTGGGGGAAAAAGTTTCGGGCAGATGCCCAGATTAAAGAAAATTCCTAGACAACTGTTTCGTTATCAAGTATGTTTATCTTACAATAAAAGTCTGAAAACAAACATGTCACATCCCGATGTAGTACAACAGAAAACAAATAAGGAGCCGGCCATATAATTAAAAGTAACCAGAACTCTGAACTGTCGAGGATGTTTGTCAACATTAATTGGAATGATTTCGATTGAAACAGTTAACGATATTATATCTAAAAGAAATCGTTTTCTAATGTTAAAGTCTTTCTCAGGATGAATGTTGGTCAAGTACATAATTACTATATTCCTGGTATCATCGTTGGATTGATTTTACTTCCTTGCGTAGGTGAGTTGTAATGAACAGTTATTTACCATGCTGGAGGAGGCATATATGTTATTTTGGATTTTTAGTACATTTTTGGTACCTGACAACGCCCAAGCAATAATCAAAGATACTTGAGGCTTCGAGTCTATAAAAGAAGTCCAAGGTTGCAAGAAAACACACATCGGTGATTCATGTATATAATCTTGAGAACTACAAACCCTATGTCAACCCAAATTGCAAAGACGTTTTAGTCCGAACTCCCCCCGGACATCTTATCGTAAAGAGTCAACTAATCTAATCAAATTGAAACTACCGTGGATCTCGGCTGCAGTTTTTAGGTTCGATAGAAGTGCTAGCGAAGTTACCTAAGCTGCGTCGACTGGCCATTTCAGCAAGACTTCCAAGCATGGCATCGCCCAAAGAGGAAAGAGAACAAAACAAACTAAGAAAATGG